TCGAGCATTGTTTCGTTCTGCTGTGCATGGGGTCGCTATGAGTCGGTTCCGACTCGATGGCACCTGACAACAACAACAACAATTTCTCAAGTTACTAAAACACTTTAAGCCATGTGATTTTTAAGGGATTTGATTAGAACTTTGATCATTATACTTTTTAAATTTTTATCATCTTTATAATGTTTCCAAGTTGAGAGTTGCATTAGTTGGAAATAAAACTGAGTGATTTTTTACCATATGAAATTAATATTTTAAGGTTTAAGATATCCTCATTAGGATCTAGAAGTTGGGACTCTTTTTAGCTGAAATATATATCCTTTACAACAGACTTATTAAAACTTCTACAAATGGTCTCGCATCTTGCCAAGTGCACATTTCCATTAGCAGCTATATGGGAGACGTGCTACTTTACATTTTTTACAAGCTCCCACTGATTCCAAGATGCCACTGAGTCCTGGAGAAAATGGAGCAGCAAGTGAGGAACATTTAAAGATGAACATTGCGACAGCTTTAATAGTCTCTTTTTGTTGTTATTTTTTAAATTAAGAAACATCTTCATGTTTTCTTAAATTATTTCTACATATTGGCAGTGATATTTCCATTTTTTTCTGTTCAAGAAATGATTTAATGGCATTTTATTTCCATATTAAACAACTTGCTGAAGATTATTGTTGTTGTTAAATACTTTCGAGTAGATAATGTACATTCAAGTTGATTCTGAATCACAGCGATCCTGTAGAGGGTTTCCAAGAATGGGCTGATGTGTTTGAACCCTGGACCTAGTGGTGATCAGTCAAGCACTTACCCTGCAGTGACAATTTGCTGAAGATACTTGGAAACAAATGTAAGCATAGTCTAGGCATTTCCCTACTGCAACGTTATGCAAGTCAGGGTATTCAAGTCTTTACTAGGGTATCTTCTATCATGTTTATCTTTAATATGGAGTCTTGAAGTACATTTCACAGAATCACCTTTCTCTATAGTTTCCTGTAGTGTTGTCAAAAAATGCACTCTACCATAAAATTTATTAGTAGAAGGAACATTTTCACTACTCTCCATCAGCACCTTCAGGCAGAGCCTCAGACAGAAATGAAGAAAAGAGAGCACACAGTGAGAGCAACAGCACCTCCACCCTGGACACCAACACTGGTCAGAGGACCATAGAGTTAGGGTCCAGATACCTTCAGTACAGCTGCACGTGGGCTCTGGAGAATCATATAAGAATCAATTCATTTGCTTTCTGCTCATGGACATCGCGCAGGAAGCATCGTCTTTTTTTTTTTTTTTTTTTTTTCTCCCTTT